GATAACAACACAACAAGTCTTATCCAATCATAGTACAGTTTCTATGTCACATCATGAGCAGAAAAACCAATCAGAAACTGGTTGCTGGGGCCCATAGCAGTTGAACAACAAAAAAAATTTAGTTTAAGTTTAGTTTTAGTTTAAGTTAGAATATTTTGCAGTTAGATCATTTGTCTACACTTTGTTAAACCTGTACACGCCATTAAACCTAAGAAGTTAGTCACGTACTGGAATCTTTATTTGGAACATATTAAAAACCTTATAAAAACCTTTTCAACCACCTAACCAGAGACCAAGTCTTTTTTTATTTTTATTTTTCTTGTTTCCGCTCTCGGAGGAGTAAAACGCTTCTCCCTTCTCTCCTGCCCTACCTTATCTTTCCCTGCTTTGCTGCTTGGAGCCTTTTCTGCATTTTTCATCCAAAACTAGAAATTATGGATATTTTCATAGATTTGGTTAGCTGGTCTCTCAATAAAATTTTTGGAATAAAGTTTTTTCTTCTTCCATGGGAGGACATGCCAGAGGTGGGACCTCTGTTCTTCTCTGTTCTGGATAGATATATCTGGATTCCGATCACTGGATTCTACAGATTGGCTTGGTGGTCTCCTGGTGTTCTATAAAACAGCGTCGGTGGCTGTTCATTTCCTGGCTGACTGACCATTATGAAGGATGGCCGTACTATCAGCACTCAGATTTTTGCCTTGAGCGAGCTGGACTCGGTCTGCAAGCGGTTCTATTGAGGGTCGCGGGTCGGCTGTGGTCCCTGGACTTTGCTGGCCAGAAGGAATTGATCTTGAAGAAGCTGATAGATCGACTTGGTGGATTTTTTCCACACTATTTGCTTGATTGGATTCGCCACCTTGAGATGCACCAGCAGACATTAAAGCAGATGGAAAATTGTTATCATCTGCCTGACTCTTTTGTTCCCAAAACAACTGATTACAGATTCGGCTCTCCCCTACAACGGCATTAATCTGTTGACTAAATTCTTCCTGGCTGGATTACGTCGATAAGGCTCTGCCCCATACCTCCCCCCTCCTCTCTCACCCGTGTGATCTGGCTCCTGAGCAGGCTGAGGGCCATACAGAATGAACAGTTTACAATCAATATTCTGAACTTTGGCTGCGCTGTTCTGGGGACTGGATTCTTCCCTTACTCCTCTGGCTAATAATCTTGCTCTATGCAGAGGTATTTTCATAAACACCATAGTGTGTCACAGTGTTGATATAATATGAATGTTTTTGCTTTTTTCCTCATCTTCCCTTGTGTGGTTTTTAGTTTTTCTGTTGCTTTTTTTGTTACGGTAGTGCAACTGTGTTTTGCTGCATGACCGGTCTTAACTGCCCCCTCCCTCACAGAAATAAATTCACAAGGTGCTGTACATTCAGGGAGGAGGGCCTCCCTGAATGTACAGCACCTTGTGAATTCATTTCTGTGAAAGGCGCTGTATAAGTAAAACTTTACTTACTTACTTACTTACTTACTTACTTACTTACTTACTTACTTACTTACTTACCAAGACCACAGTGTCTCGAGACCGAGACAAGACCAAGACTTTTAGGGTTTGGACCAAGTCAAGACCAAGGGAGGGCGAGACTGAGACAAGACCAAGACCAGAACTTGAACAATTAGTGGCTGACTAAATACTAGTGCTGGGCGGTATACCGTTTTGTACCGAAAACCGGGTTTTATTTTTGTTATGATACGAATTTTCTGAATACCGGTGTAAATAGCCTGAACACGTGCGGAACATTTTGTCATGGCGGTCAGTGAACTGTTTCCCGGGGGGACATGTTTCCTCGCAGTACCGCTAAGCGCAACAGCATGCTAATGTTATTGTTGGAACAGCTGGCGGCGGGTGGTGTGTTTCAGCTGCTTATATGGTCTGACATAAAAAAAACATCCCGTTTTCACCATCGCTGAATGTAGTAAACACCTCTTCAGTTAGATTTAACGTGCTACATTAAAATGGAGATGTTATTGCATGGAGACTCTAGCATGCTTCTATTGAGATTGTTAATGTTAGTGACGATTAAAGTTTGACGTCCCCACCGTCTCTGAGAGTGAAGCACTGCTGAATGTACAAGTTGCTGTACGCTTTCTCCTGGTTGTTGTTGTTGTTTTACAATGATATTGTTTATGAATAGTGTAGCCAAATTCTTTACTTAAAATTTTGAAGACATCCTTTACCGCTCCCAGAGAACCACTGCTCACTTTCCTGGAGTGCTGTGTGCAAGTGACGGGCTGGGGATGGGTGATAGCTGTAACAAAAATACATAAATAGCAATGAGTCAGGTTTGGATTTGAATCAGTAGCTACATTTTAAATCCAATGAAAGCAAGAATGTTAACTAATAAATTGTACAATAATCTGGCTGTTAAGTGATATTTCCACAGTTGTGATCTTGACTGGTCTTGAAATAAAATTCCYAGTCCTCAATGTCCGAGACTGAGACAAGACTTGTCGACAAATGCTGTCTAGTCTGAGACAAGACCAAGACCATCAAAAAGTGTTCTTGAGACCGGTCTTAAGACCAAGACCGATTACAAGTACTACAACACTAGTCTTTGGAACTGCATGGATTCTGTGGATCATGCGAGAGAGGCTTTTAAAAGCAACCTGTCAGAGTAAACCTCATCTACACCTTGAGCCCTGCTTCTGAGGAGCTTTTTAACCACCTTCATGGCCGCTGCTTTTGTTATGGACTCATCTTTATGAGTCTTCTAACTTTGTCTTCTTAAAGGTGGACATGGTGTTTAGATTAAAGAGACCCTTGAATTGCTCCATCCATGTTTTGGCAATATCCCTAGTAGACAGGTCCCTACCCAAACCAAGCACAACCTGGGACGAGGCTCAATATCCATTTCTGCATTGCAAAAACAGTTTACCACAACCTCCTCAAAGACAAAACATCTTCATGGCCTCTGAATTCCCATGCTTAAGTTTTTTTTTCACCCACAACCATAGAAGCTGCAGTTCTTGTGACCACCCTGTACATGCCAGGATCTTTAGGAGTCTTCCAGAACAGCCAAGCCTTAAAGGCCTCTATTTTCTCCATCTGCACAATGACAGGATTCTTCAGTCCAGTAGAGGCCATGAACATAGTCCACTAGGATTTCATCCCATTGACAGGACAAGTAAACCCCC